TTGGCAGCAGGAGGCTTTCATCCCTATTGACTGCCCCCCTGCCGCGTATGTGGCAGACCGTGGGGGCAAGCATCACAAGACAAAGTACCGCAACAAGTTCGTCATCAAATATGGTGGGTCAGACTTTCCTGACTACTCCGAGCTCAGGCTGTCAGAGTTCAAAGGAGAGGAGGACGCTATCGACAAATCCTTTGCAGACATTTCTACCGTCAGCAGTTGGGAAGATAAGTCCAACGCCGAGTTGATCCAACAACTCAAGTGGGATGCGGATTCGCAGCCTTTAAGTTCTATACCAGTGCCGACCACTCTGTCTTTGGTTACGTACAACAGCAATGTCTGGAGCACGATGCAAGGTTTTTTGGAGTGGATGGTGCTGGACAAAGCAGATCAGTCTGACATCATTTTTGGCCAGGGGCACAGGTTGCGCAACGGCGACCAGCTGAAGTCTGCTCAAAGCTGGGCGCGAGAGCGCGGGTACAAGTTCCTGGCCAACGGGTGCGCCGTGACTGGTAAGAAAATCGCGGAGACATCCAGCGGTGTGGGCGTCCTCACATCAGGTCACATTGCCAGCATAGAGTACCACCCGAACAACGAGTTCGACAAAGCCAGGCTCTTCTTCCAGCGCGTCATGCTGGGCTGGATGCAGGAGCTGCTGGTCTCCATCTACGCCATCTGCAGTGTAGGTGTGGCAGGCAGCATTGATTTGATTGCCTCGTTGCTCGAGGCGTTGCGCGCGGCATGCTTGCCATTCATCATAGCAGGTGGCTCGAATTTTGAGGCCGAGTCGTTCGGCAGAGACACGTTTCTTCGGGCAGGCTTTCTCAATCAGGTGCACGCAGAAGTTGTGCATAGCGGAGAGCCAACTTGCTACGACTTCCACTGCGTTTTTTCGTGATCAGTGATGTGTTGCTTCCTTTTGTCAAAACCATGTCTGTTCTGGACAGCACACCCGTCGGGCCCCACATGGCTGCCAAACTTGTCCTGGGAGGCCTCGGGGGCCAGAAATTTATTTACCGACGGGTTAAACCCGCTCTCTTTCCAATGCCTCAGTCGGGGCAACCATTTGTCCCAGGAGATGTCTCGAGCTGGCCAGGCTTCGATCTTAAAGAGGGTGAGTCGGTGGACAGTCTGGCGCGACGCTGGTTTCATTCTGCAGAGCTCTATTTGTGTATTTTTTTGGCCATCCCAGCTTCGGAAAGGCCGTGTTATTGTGGAAGGGAGTTCGGTTGCCGTCTGGAAAAAGTCCCTCTCGCGTGTGAAAGGGGGCAAGAGCCTCCGCCGAAAGGCGCCCCCCCTGACTCAGAAATGGCTCAGCATCAGGCGCCTCGCAATAACAATGGCTCCGCGCTTCAGACACCACCAGCTCTGCCTAACAGGAGTCGAAGGCCAGTGCCAAGCGTCGACTTAGGGAGTTGGGGGGCGCGTGGGGCACGGGTGGTGGGGCGGGTGTCGGCAGAGTCGGTTTCGAGATCAGCGATTGTGAAACCTTTTTACAGCAGCTCGCAAATGATGAGCAGAAGGGAGATGCTTGCAAATTCGTTCAAGATAAGGTGCTTGCGCACACGGCTGCTGACGCAGCCGCCGCCAGAGCCAGCTGGACAGATTTTTCGGAGCTTGCTTCTCACAGCGGCTCTGGTCTGGCGCGCCGGTTTTCCAGGGGCCCCAGGGGCGCCGATCCATCTGATCAGGACTCCAGCGTGATTGTGAGGCCCACCCGCTCACCTGGTCGGTCGAGGATGCTCCGCCTCTCCCAATGATGGAGCCTCACAGGGTCAAGTCGGCGCTGCAGACTTTCAAGGTGAAGACAGCGCTGGGGTGGGATTGTTTCCACCCGCGCTGGATTGATCGATTGCCTGTCGAGCTGCTAGCGTCGCTTTCTGTGCTGCTGCGCCTCTGGGGAGACGACCCTGGGGGCGCTGACATGACGCTAACAATGATAGTGTTCCTTGCGAAGCCCCAAGGAGGAGTGCGCCCCATAGGGCCCCCCCCTCTCTGTCGCATCTGGTCCCGTCTGAGGCACTCGGAAGTGGCCAAATGGGAGGGCGCCCTTGAGGGCGGTTTCTTTTGGGGCTCCTCGTCCGAAACCTTGTGTGATAAGTCGGCCAAGATTCGCAGCGTGTTGGCGAGTGTTGCCCCTGTTGATAACTTTGCAAGCGCGAGTGCGTTTGTGGGCCTTAGAGAATTCTATGAAATGATTAGCCACTCGGAATTATTATGTGCTGCTAGGGATACTGATTTTCCTATTGGGCCGTTAAAACCATATTGCTGCATGCGCAGGGACCCGAGAAGGGCCGCCAGCCAGAGATCGACGTCGGCGGAACTTCGAGCTAGCGGAACAGCAATTGCAGGATGTTCATGTGCAACAGGCCTGGCTAAACTGATGACCATCACGACGTTGCGGCACATAGGGGTCAGATGTCCCACGGTGCGGATCAAGAACCTCGTCCACGACATAAGCCTCCACGCTATCGGTGGCAGACGCGCCGTTACCAGGGAACTGACATATGCCCTGAACAACCTCCTCGTGGGCCTCCAGAAGAGGGGCCTCCCGAACTCTCGGGGCAAGATGGGGTTCTCTGCAGGGGCGAGGATTTTTTTTTTTTTTTTTTTTGCTTGTGCGGACCTCTTGGACATCTGGCCCGCTAACATCCCCTTCTTGAAGCATGATCAGTACCGCGGGGACCTCGGAGGGGATGCTGTGGGCGGTCGCTATCGTAGAATCGGGACCCAGTTGACAAGGGTCCAGGAGGCCATGGGGAAGGGAGACCGCATTCAGGCCTTGCAGGGCCTCGGCGTGGAAAGATCGGCTGTCCATCGTGTTGGTGCGCTCTCCAAGAGCCTCTGGGGTTGCAGCATAGCGGGGGCCCCGAACGGGCGAATCCAGCAACTTCGGATGTCCTTTCTCAATGCCGCGGGAAGGCTCAAACCAGGGGCTCATGTAGGCCTTGCAGAGAGCGGGTGGGGATCAGACCCGCTCGTCATCGCGACCGCCGGTGCCGCGCAGACGTTCGTCGCCATCCTTACGGCTGGCACGGTCTCTAGCAGAGTGGTAAATGACCTCATTGCAGATGCGCGGCCCTGGCTTCAAGATCGCCGCGCCTGGAACAAAGTTAAGAACCCTTTCTCAGCTCTAGCATTATCTCTTCGCAGAATCGGCTGGGCACTAGCTGATTCAGCTACAGTTCGAGACGACGAAGGTAGAGACTGGGACGCCTCTTAGTATTCGGCAGAGCTCTTCTCCGGCATTGTCAGGAAGGGCGTTCAGAGACAAATCAGCAGAGACGTGCTTCGAGGACTACGCGGTGCAGATGAAGAACCGAGGCTTGGAGAAATCCTTTGGGGGCCGCTACAGGCGGCAATGAAATCCAAGAAGCTTTCCCCGCGCGAGCGGCGCTCTCTCCGAGGCCTCTGCTCAGGAGGACATTGGTGCCAAGCCAGAGTTGCTCGCGCCTTCCCAGACCAGAGTCACCTCTGCACGCGCTGTGGCATAGCGCCGGGGGCGTTATTTCACAGATTCTTCTGCTGCGACGCCTACTCAGGGCCAAGACATAATTTGATCCCCTATGTTATTCACAAAGCGGCAACTGAAATAGGCAAATCGCAGCCAGCTGTGCAAGAGAAGTTTGCGAGAGGCATCTTGCAGAATCCAGGCCGAGCATTTGCCGGCCAGCCGCGTTCGTCAGCCCTCGACTTCGTCGACGTCGACAACGCGGGAGCTGTGACGATCTCGGACGGGTTCGTCTTCGTCGACGGCAGCGGGTTCCACGCCAACATTCCTGGGCTGAGAGTTGCAGGATGGGCTGTGATAGCTTTCGACAGCTCTCGCCGTCGAGTCGGTCGTTTCTGCGGCTCAGTTCCCAAGCATATTGGGCCGCTTCAGGTGGCGAAAGATGGGGGCGATCATGCAATATATCAAGCGGGCAGTTTGGTTCTCGGGACGCGGGCGCTTCTCTCAGATTGTAAGAGCTCGTTCTCGTGCTGTTTCAACTTATCGCGGGCTTCGGGATCGAAGTGCGCACGGGCTCATATTTGGAAAATGGCAAGGCTGAGGGGGGACTTTCGTGACCACTATTTCACGCATGTGAAAGGCCACGCAACCATGAGAGACGTTCGGGAAGGGTGCATATAACACTTTCAGATGGAAGGCAACGGGGAGGCGGATTCCTGGGCCAAGCACGGAGCTAAGCAGCGCTTGCCCCCAGAGCAGCATATCCTGTTCGTGAACGGATGTCGCAGATTTCATCGCCTCCTGCTGGAATATCTGGCGAGATCCGAAGTATGGTTTCACTCTCAAGATGAGGAGTATCTTGACTGCAGCTTTCCCGTGGCTGATGATGATGAAGAATAGATCGAGCAAGTTATACGCGTAGAGGAAAGTTCCACCGAGCCTTGGTTTGCGGGCAAGCACGCGCTGTATGAATACAAAGCAGTGGGGCTTGATTACAGTTTGGTGTTTTGTACGACGTGCTGCAAGTATTTCAACTTGGAGTCGCACAAAGGTCTTGATGTGATGTGCCCTGGGCGTTCTGCGACAGGACGCGCGGTGGAATATTTTTGGCACTTCGAGAATCTCAGACATCCACAAAGTTCAAGGGAGCAAGTGAAGCTGGACGGCCCCTTTCGGCCGTCGGCGTTGACATGGGAGATCGCGTGCAAGGTCAAGCAGTGGATAGATCCTTTGGTTGGCGCCGTTGTGGAGAGACCAGCGGAGGCAACGCCTTCGGCAGCCTGCTGGTCCAAGTGCCTAGATGTGCCCAGAGTCCTACAAGGATATGGGCTTTCACATGATGAGATTCAGGAGCTGGGCCAACCTGGATCCGAAGATGGCTCCGATGAAGGTAGCGATGGCGAGTTCTTATTCTGACAGCCTGGCTGCATCATGCTCGGCTATCAAATCCTGTCTAGGGCAGGTTCATGCGTCGCAAGGCAGGTGCAGGCCGGCCAGGTCCCTTGGGTTTGAAGCCACGCTTGCCCTTGGGCACCTTATGTGCTGGCCTGCATCCAGCCAGTTTTGCCCTGCGCGGCTCGAACATTGTCGAGCTGGGCCACGCGTGGGTCGGCATGGCCCTCGTCTTCGCCTTCTGCGAGGGCTCCTGTTGCCACCTGTGCGCGCTGGGCCACCTGTTGTTCGGCCCCGCCTTTCTGTCGCTGGGAGCGCTGGACGTGGTGTTCCACGTCTTGGCGGGCGTCGTGCTCGTGAGCACGGGCCTGCCGCAGGCCCCGTGCTCCCTGGCCGCTCGGCCGCCCCGCCAGGTCCTGCTGGCTCCCCCGCCCCCGCCTCGGCGCTTGCAGCGCGGTTCCTGGCCCTGCGGGCTCCGTGGCGCAGGTGCTGGGTTGGGGGTTGGAGGGGCGAGTGGGCCCCCCGCCCGCCGCCGCGGGCCGACCCAACCGCCTCTCGGCTGCTCGCTCGCTCGCTCGCTCCTCCTCTTCGTCCTCCTCTTCCTTCTCCTCCTCCTTCTCCTCCTCCTTCTCCTCCTCCTCTCCCTCGGCCTCCCTCGTCCTTCTCGTCTTTCTCCTCCTCCTCTTCCTCCTCCTCTTCTCCCTCCGTGGCCATTTTGGCTCAAGCACATGCGGCTCGAGGCGGGTCCATAGCCATTTCTTTTGGCTCAACCCATTCTCGATGCCGTGCCTCGGCGGCTCATCGCGCCGTGCTTGTGGCACCTGAACTGTGTATTTCTGTTGCAATTCGGACGGGTGGCTAAGATCGAGGCGAATCGTGCTCATGGCAGCAATCGTACCTGTTCATCCCTGGTCGTCGTGGAGTGTGCCCCCCTTTTCGGTTGAGTGGAACCCTTATGGAACGATCTGCAAGAGCAGGAGACGCGCGCTGCGGAGGCTGCACCTGGCAGTGGGTCGTCAAGCGGCATTGGATTTTGGTCTCGTTGTCGTGGAGCCGTGGCGGGATCTTTCGTGGACGTCGGGCCAGGCCGCCGACTGTCTGCAGGGGCACGCTCCGGCATGCGAGAACGGTGCAGTGGCTGCCGGCGTATTGTGGGCACCGGACCCAGACGCTTTCAGCTACAGCACGGAAGTTGCTGCATGCAAGAAATGTGAGAAGCAGGCGCTTGGGAAACCGAAGTTGGAGCCAAATATTCCCACCTACAGCTCTGTGCATTGCGCATGCGAGAAGTTGGAGGCGGTGATAGAGCCCGACTTTTTCAGCTCCAGCGCTGAGAGATCAGAGCGAGCGCGTGTCATAAGGCGGAGGCGGAGCAATATGATCATCTTCCTATTCCACCGCCGCTGCCTGCTGCTATTGTTGCGAGTGCCGATGCCGAGGAGGCTCTGTCGGACGAGGCCGAGCTGGATACAGCCACGGTCGCGCCCGACCCCGCCTCGGACACGGTGACCAACACCGACGAGGAGCACGGCAGCGGCAAGGCGGAACTGGACCTAGACATGCATATTTCCTGTTCTGCAGCAGGGGCCTCTCGGCCTCAGGGCGCGGCGTCCTACAAGGGTTCGGCGTCCTGCAAGCCGCGAGAGCGTCCTGAGCTGCCATAGGACGCGCACATTGTCGAGGTTGAAGAGCAGATGAACAGCTGGGCGCGCATGGTGTCAGCCAGTCGCTCATTTCTGCGTATGCGGCGCCGCCTCGACAGTACGGCCTCTCACAAAGTAACTGCTGACTCTGTTGATAAGGCGATGTTCAAGCCCGATGATCGGGCGACCAGTTTGCGTCAGTGCTGGCAGGATATTTGTGGAGCCAGGTGGGAAAGTCTAAACGGGCCTGCGGTGGTGCCCGCTCCCCCCACAGCATCTCCATCTGAATGCCCGCACAGCTGAAGGTGTCCCTCCTCGTTAAGGTCGTCGCGCCGCTCTACCTTTTCGTCGCGTGGCGCGTCGAGCTCAGGAGAGGAAGCCGTCATTTTCCTTGTACCACTACGTGGGATAGCCTGTTCCTGTTCCTGTTCCTGCTCCTCCTCTTCCTCCTCTTCTCCCTCGTCCTACATTCTCGTCCTCCTCCTCCTCTTCCTCCTCGTCCTCCTCCTCCTCCTGCTTCTTGTCCCCCCTTCCACCTCCCCCTCCCGCTCTTCCCACATGGGCGCGCCGCCGCCGACATTGGGCTGGGGCGAATGGAAACAACTCGATGTTGTTGGGGGGCTCTCCGGAAGTTTCTTTGTCGGCCCCCCCCCGCTTTGCAGCCGACCAGGAGCCTTTCCAGCAGCCTGCGCCTCGCTGGAGAGCAATCCGCGGGGGGCCAGGGGGGGAGGGGGAAGGAAGAGAGGATGGGAGGAGGATGATGGAGGAGGAGGAGGAGGAGGAGGAGGAGGAGGAGGAGGAGGAGGAGGAGGAGGATGAGGAGGAGGAGGAGGAGGAGGAGGAGGAGGAGGAGGGGGGGAGGAGTAGGAGATGACGCCGCGAACGCGGCGTCAGGGTGCTCTACTGGAGCGAGACCTACACCACGTGGATGAACGCCGTGGTGCGCGCGGTGCGCTTGGAGGTGCCGCCGTTGTCGTCGGTCGTCGTCGGTTGTCGCCCGTCTTCCTCGGTTGTCGTCCGTCGTTGGCCGTTGTGGATCGATCTTCGGGCGTCGGTCGTCTTAGTCGTGATCGTCGTCGTCGTCGTCGTCGTCGTCGTCGTTCTGTCGTCGTTCTGTCGTCGTTCTGTCGTCGTCGTTGTCGTCGTCGTCATTGCAGGTGACGGCGGATAGAGGATACAGGTTTGGCATGCTTTTGTATGGCTATTCCTAACCTTGCTTTGGCTGGGTCCTTGTTTTCAAGATAGCACGGCTCTCACAAGCTCCTCACGCCCCCCAATCGCCTATCTTTCCGCCTTTTGCATCTTGCTTTATTGTCAACCCTCCTGCGTTGATTTCAAGCTCGCGCGTCTACTTCTCCTCCTCCCTGTTCCCGCCCCCTCCTCCTAATTATCTCCTGGCTGTTTTTTATTTCGCCCATGCGCTTCGGCATGTGGCTTAGCGTGGCGTTGCGTCTTTTCTACTGCTCAGATTAGACCTCGCGGCTGCCTGGAGGGCTGCCACCTGCGCAACTGTCCTCACTTTTGGGCTTTGGGAGGCGCAGCGGAGCGGGGTTGTGCGCGAACCCCGACGAGACCTCGCGGCTTCCCCGGGGCGCTGTCAATTGCGCGACTGTCGCCACTTTTGTGGACTCGTCCAGAGCAGCGGAGGCGTACGCAGACCCAGACGAGACTTTGCGGCTTCCCTAGGGGGCTGCCAACTGCGCAACCGTCGCCACTTTTGTCTGCTCCTGGTAGGTCCAGCGGAATGGGGTTGAACGAGGACCCAGACGAGACTTCGCGGCTGCCCTGGAGGGTTGCCAACTTCGCAATTGTGGTCTTTTTTCGTAGGCTCCTGGGGGACCTGGCGGAGTGGGATTGTACGCGCACCCAGACGAGTCCTTGGGGCCTCCCTATGTGTCTGCCAGCTGCGACCCTGCTACCACTTTCGTGGGCCCGTAGGAGGTCCAGTGGAGCGGAGGGACATGCTCACCCAGCCGAAGCCTCTGGCGAAGCGCTCAAGGATACCGCAGACCCATCAATCTGCTCTTTTGTGTTGGTCTGTCCTGCTTTCAGTCGCCTCGTGTTCAGAAGGGGCTGGGCACGTCTCGGACAATTTCGCCTCAGGAGGCCTCGATGGACTTCCAGGGATCCGCGGGGGCCTCAGCTTGGGCGTCGCTCGTGCGATTCAGGCACACGTGGCACATCTTTCCCCAGCTTTTTTAGCGCAACGTCAGGTGCAAGGTCCCTTTGGCGCCGCTGGAGGCGGCGCCAGGGTGTTGAGACCGCCCCAGACTACGCGGGGGGCCTGCTGAGGCCAGCTGGGACTACGTTCGGGGGGGCCTCTTGAGACCAGCCGGGACTATCTGTTGGGGCTATCTTTGCGCAGCCCGAAGCCTGATCAGTCAGGGCGGGGAGTCCAGCGCCGACCTGAGAGCACCGCGCGGAGTTCCGCATGTTTATGCTCTTGCCGTTCCCTGTTCCTCTACTCTAGGCGTCCCAGGTGAGGTCCGAGAAGATGGGGTTGGAGCATCGGGCCGCATCGCCGATGCATCGGCGATGATATGCGACGCGGCTCGATGTGGAGCCAGATTTTCTCCACGCCGACGTCGCCGACGCATCGCCGACGCATCGGCGACACACATCGCCGATCAATCGACGAGAAGCGGTGCTCCGACCCCACCTGCTCGGACCCCATCCGTGCCGTTCCCTGTGTTCCTCTTCTTGTGAGGCAAGCCGCAGACGCTCCAGGACGAGAGGCGTTATCCCTGTTCCCTTACAGCCACGACGCTGAAAGAAGGACCGCTCTGGGTTCGGCAGGGGCTCGGGTCCTCGGGTCGTTCCTTAGACCTGTGTCGCGGGATCTGCTCGTGGCCTGGGCCCTCCGTGGCCAGAAACGCCCCCCCTCTCCGTATTTGTCGGAGGTGGACGGATCTCCTACCCTGAGACGTCGATTAAGGAATTGGCCGTTTTCGGTTCGCGAGAGGGCGTCGCGGCCGTCATTTTTGCGGGTCCAGGTCCGTCGATTTCGCTCCCAGGCCGTTTTCATTAAAGGGAGGTTTACTCAAGGGAGGTTTGTCCACCGCCGAATTTGGCATTTCTGCTGGCAGTACCTCGACTGCATCCCCCCTCTGGCCGCGCCTTGGCGCGGCCCACCTGCCCGCGACTCGTCGCGGCAGCCGCCCAGGGCGGAGCGGTGCAGAGCTGCGACCTCGACGTGCGCCGGGGCGCCCTGCCGGAGCGCATCAGGCCTCTCGCCGTCCTCCTTCTCCTCCTGCTTCTGCTCCTCCTCCTCCTCCTCCTCCTCCTCCTCCTTCTCCTCCTCCTCCTCCTACCTACGACGACGACGACGACGACGACGACGACGACGACGACCTCCTCCTCCTCAGGGCGGGCCTCCTCTCCGCCTCCACCCGGGGCCCGTGGGTCTCCCCAGGGCTCTCCGGAGGCCCCCGCGGGCCTCTGGAGGAACCCCGTCGGGGCCCACGAGACGCTCAGACCACCGGGGCCCACGAGACGCTCAGACCCACGAGACGCTCAGACCACGAGACGCTTCTGCTCCTGTTCCTCCTCCTCCTCCTCCTCCTCCTCGCTCCTGCTCCTTTCGGGGAAACGTAAGATTCGAGTACGCCAGAACTCGGGTTTGCCGATGCTTTTTGACGAGCGCGTCCTGGGTTTTGACGGTTCGGTTTTGGCGGGATGTGTGCAGCGGGAGTTCGCGTCGAATTTCAGACGGTTGTCATTTTCATGATGGTCCCGTCAGGCCGACATGAGTCCCCCGAACGCGAGTCTTACGTCTCCCCGATCTTCCTCCTCCTCCCCCGACGACGACGACGACCTCTTCCTCCGACGACGATGACGACGTCGACGACAACGACGACGACGGCGACGACGACGACAACTACGACGTGCGGGAGGCGCGGCAACGAGACAGAGGCGGTAAGATCCGCATCCTCGTTCTGCTTCTCTTCCTTCTCCTTTTCCTTCCCTCCTTCTCCTGCTCCTACAGCTGCTCCTGCACCTGCACCTGCTCCTGCTCCTGCTCCTTCCCCTCTTCCTCCTCCTCTTCTTCCTCCTCCTCTTCCCCGTTCCCCACCCTCCTGACCGTCGAAGGCCCTATGCTGGCCTGCTCCCACCTCGGACTGGAGAGAAACTTGTCACGCGGCGCGTCTCTGTGCCGTGTTATTAGTGTCATTCTCCTGACCTATCCTCCTTCCTCTACCCTCCTCCCTTCTCGTCCTTGAAGAGGGCTGCTTCTCCGGGTGTGGCCGGCTGTCTAGGACAGCGTCCACTCCCAGGGGGAAGGGGCCTGCCAGCTGGGGCCTCCTCCTCGCTCGCTCGCTCGCTCGCATCCTGAAGGCTGGGGATCGTGGCGTACGCTCTGGAATGGCGCGAGAAATCGTGGGGCTGGGAAGGAGCCTCCTCCTCCTCCTCCTCCTCCTCCTCCTCCTCCTCTTACCTACGACGACGACGACGACGACCTCCTCCTCAGGGCGGGCCTCCTCTCCGCCTCCACCCGGGGCCCGTGGGTCTCCCCAGGGCTCTCCAGAGGCCCCCGCGGGTTTTTGGAGGTACCCCGTCGGGGCCCACGAGACGCTCAGACCACCGGGACCCACGAGACGCTCAGACCTCTCCGACGAAATGGCTCGAGACTTTCTCGGAATCTCCTTGATCTTCCTCCTCTTCCGTCCGGGCGTTTTTCCCGATCTCGGCCTCCGGGGCCCGCCATCTGGCCCTGCAGGACCATGAGAGGTGGGCCCGGGAAGACGAGCCACCCCCAGGCAGGGGGGGTCGGGACCTCAGGGGCCGCGCGTTGAGTCAATCGTATCGTCGGATGTCTGGGATCCTCAGCGCCTGAGCGTCCTCACGTCCTGAGCGTCCAGAGCGTTAGAGCCCTTGCTCTGCCCCCCCCCCCGCGCGGCCGCCTTCCTCGCTTCCCGCCTCCGCGGTGCCAGTTTGCCGGTGCGCCACCCGTTTAGGCCATCCCGCGTGGAGCGACCGCCAGCGCGTCGACAAAAGAACGGCCGCTGGAGGCCCGAGCTAGTCCCCGAACACCCAGACCGGTCAGAGGTAACGTTTGGGGATTGGACAGGCTCAAGGGCGGATCCCACTCATCGCCTATAGGGGCATGGCAGGCCACACCGACAAGGAACGTGCGGTTTCGCTATCGGGGGCCCGTCGCTGATCTCTCGGCGACGTATCGCCGATTCCAGCTGCATAGTTCTCCCCTCTTAGCCGGTCCCCCTCTAATTACCGTTCCCCGTCAGACGATCCTCAGGACGTACATTAGCCCAATCTGCGTTTTTACCCCACTCATCCCCGCCGACAGCACGCAGCCTGTGCCAGCCCCTCCTTGCACTGCCTGCGGAGTATTGAAGGGCTTCGGTGGTCAAGCACACGCTGGCAGGGTCCACTTCGTTCCGATTGATCCGATTCGATATCGTCGGTTACTCAGACGATCCAATGTGACCCGATGCTCGCAGGGTGCAGCTGTGCATCCTGGTGCGGCAGGTCCGTTCCAATCTGGCTCCGGGCCGATGTGGCCCGATCCGGCGAGCATTCCGGTCCGATCCGAGTTCCCGATGCGATGCTGACTGATCCTGCACGTTGACATCGACGTCTTGAGGTTTGAGTTTTTCCCAACCATCCTGTGGTGTTGGGTCCTCGTTTTGAACAGACGGCGTCCCGCGTCCCTCCCTCCCTTCCTCCCTCCAGATTCCTCCTCCTCCTCCTCCTCCTCCTCCTCCTTCTCCTCACTCCTCGCTGCGTTTCACCCACCCAGTACAGCGTTTCGTGGCCCCATAGGGAGCTCCACCGAATGTCCCAGTGGCAGGGTTCGCATGGCGGCCTCGGGCCGTTTCGGCACACCCCTGACGAGGATCGTGGCCCCATGGGGAGCTCCACCGAAAGCGCCAGTGGCAGGGTTCGCAAGGCGGCCCCGGGCCATTTCGGCACACCCCTCACGAGGATCGTGGCCCCACAGGGAGCTCCACCAAAGGTCCCAGTGGCAGGGTTCGCATGGCGGCCTCGGGCCATTTCGGCGCACCCCTCACGAGGATCGTGGCCCCATAGAGAGCTCCACCGAAAGCCCTAGTGGCAGGGTTCGCAAGGCGGCCTCGGGCCGTTTCGGCACACCCCTCACGAGGATAGTGGCCCCATGGTGAGCTCCACCGAAGGCGCCAGTGGCAGGGTTCGCAAGGCGGCCTCGGGCCGTTTCGGCACACCCCTCACGAGGATCGTGGCCCCATAGGGAGCTCCACCGAACGCGCCAGTGGCAGGGTTCGCATGGCGGCCTCGGGCCATTTCGGCGCACCCCTCACGAGGATCGTGGCCCCATAGAGAGCTCCACCGAAAGCCCCAGTGGCAGGGTTCGCATGGCAGCCTCGGGCCGTTTCGGCACACCCCTCACGAGGATCGTGGCCCCATGGGGAGCTTCACCGAAAGCGCCAGTGGCAGGGTTCGCAAGGCGGCCTCGGGCCATTGCGGCGCACCCCTCACGAGGATCGTGGCCCAATAGTTGTGCTGCTTTAACAACTGCGCCTGGGCGTCGTACTCCGCCTTGTCGACGTGCAACGCCACTTCCTCCCTCATGGCTCTCAAAACCCTCTCCTGCTTCTGCTCCTCGGTCAGAGGGACGCCGTCCTTGTCGTCGTCGGCGCCCGCGAAGACGGCCACGAACGTGTTCCTGAGCATGTCGGGCTCCGGCGGGAACCGTGGCCACATAGGGAGCGCGGGCGAAAATGGTATTCACAATTGCGGTATTCACAACTGCTTATGGTTGGGTCCTTCGCCAGGCTAATTTACAACCTGGCTCCCCAGAGGTCTGGACCCTTCTCTGACGGCTGCTTTTACATCCTGAGTCGTCTTTTGATTGTCCTGGGAGGGACCCTGTGAGGGCCCCCGGAGGTCGAAAATTGTAAAAGACCTCCCGTCTTGAGTGTTCCCGACTCCTGGATTTGGTTCTCGGGTCAGAATTCAGGTTTCCGGCGGCCGTTCGGAATGATTCGGCTATCCTCAAAACGCTTTCGGGGAGGCGCTGCCAGGTGGAGAGCATCCCGAGGTTGGAAAACCGCCGATCTGAAGGGGGGGCGGTGGCGGCCGCGAGGATCGGCGCCGACATCCGCATCACCGAAATGTGCTGAAACCGTGTGTTCGTCGGCCCCGCAGTGGCGACGCGCTTGCGCTCAGAAGTCGTCTAGTGTAGGCTCGCTGGCGCGCACACTCTGGCAATACCACTGGAGTAACGAAGTGCTGTGAGATGCCTGTATTGCGTTTTCGGTTCGGACGTGCGTATCCACGGGGGTGCGTAGTACCAGTACGTCCTGCGTCCCTGAGATCCGACGACGCAAAAAATATAGCGTCGTGCGAAATCACGATTGTAGGCCTTCACCCCATTTTCCCGCTGCGTTTTTCGAAGTGGATCGCCTTGTGGGGCCCTTGGGCCCGAGACAGGGGGAAACCGCCCAGCGCGGAACATTTGCGACGCCAGGATTTCATGGACGACCGCCTCCCTTCTAGGCTCCTACATAGGGGTCAAATGGGATGGGGGTGGAGGATCGCGCCTTACTGCTTGTGCATCGCCGATATTGCGCCTTGGAATTCGATTTCTCCACGCCGAGTTCGCCGATGCACCCCCGACGTCGTCGATGTATCGGCGATGCGGCGTGATCCTCCGACCCCATCAGCTCGGATCCGACTTTGGGGGGCCTTTATCCTGGCACGTTTTGAGGATCGGCGGCCCCTCCGCGCGCACAGGCCCGACCCCGACGCGGCCAGCGAGCCGCGGCGCGCGGTCTCCACCGCCGTCTGCGGGGCGCTCTCGCGCTGCGGCAGCGACCTGGGCGCCGAGAGCGCGGCGCCCGCGCCTGGCTCGCCTCCCGGGCGCACGGGAGGGAGAACGCGAACAGCAGTCATATGCTGGCGTTGATAGCCGGTCGGCGTGCTTCGGCGGCGAACCCAGGGGGGAACTGAGAGGAAACGAGCCCTCTCAGAGGGCGGCGGGGCTTCTCAGAAACCTTCGCGCTTTCCGGGGGCCTTTTCCGAAGCCACGGACGGCTTCTCAGAAGGCGCGAGGACTTCTGACAAGCGCCGCCGCCTTTTGGGAAGGCCTGCTCCCTTTCACTTCACCCTGGGTTCGCCGCCGAGGGCTACTCCTTTCGAAGAGCACAACAGCAGCACAAACATAATTTATCGGAGGGACTTTTCGGAGGTCCTCGCGGAGTTCTGGAGAAGTCAGCGGGGGCAGGCCTTCTCACAAGGCTCGGAAGGCCTCCGGCCTTCCGAGAAGTGATCTGAGCCTTCTCCGAAGACAGAGGCGGCCTTTCAGAAGGCCTGAGAGCTTCTGAGAAGCCCCGCCGCCCGCCTGCCGAGAAGGCCTGCCCCCTCTTCAATTCCCCCCCTGAGCTCGCCGCCGAGTTTGGTTTTCGGGTCATGACTCGGGTCTCCAGCGGCCGTTCGGGACAATCCGGACACCCCCGTACGCCTCTCGACGAGGCGCAGTTGCCGGAATGCATCCCGAGGCTGGAAGACCGAGCAAAACAACGAGAATGTGCGCAAACCTCGAAAATCGCCGCGGAGTTAATGCCGTTTTTTTACCAACCATCCTGTGGTGTTGGGTCCTCGTTTTGAAGAGACGGTCCCCGCGTTCTCCTCATCCTTCCTTCTCCCCCTCCTCCCTCCTTCTCTCCTTCTTCCTCCCTGCCTTTAACCCACCCAGTGCAGCGTTTCGTGGCCCCATGGGGAGCTCCACCGAAGGCCCCACCGGCAGGGTTCGCATGGCGGCCTCGGGCCATTTCAACACACCCCTCACGAGGACCGTGGCCCCATAGGGAGCTCCACCGAAGGCGCCAGTGGCAGGGTTCGCATGGCGGCGTGGCGGCCTCGGGCCATTGCGGCACACCCCTCACGAGGATCGTGGCCCCATAGTGTGACAGTTATCTTAGCAAGGATGTGAGTTATAGGATGATATTTAGAATTATCTATGTTATTGCTCTCGCTCGCTCATGCTTGCACTCTCTTGTTCACTATTGCCATTTGTGGCTTGGACCCGCCCAGCTGAGGCGGGAGGGTGGACGCACCTATCGAACGCTGAGTTTGATTCGGTATAAGATATCCTATCATCTGCCTGTTTCTTCTTGCATCGAGAGGTTGTGGGTGGAGAGATTTGGATCAATATTAACACTGGTAGCGGAGCTGAATCAGTCCACTGTACGAGGATTTCATACAGAGTGGCCGTGCAGACATATATGCTGGCGCTCACTTGCTTCCTCGCGGTGCTTAACCACTGCGCTCAACAACAGATCACGGTGATTGACAAAAGGCTCAAAATCATTACCTACAACAGCTTGGACGAGGATCGTTGCATCAACATCATCCTGGGCGAGCAGCATAACTACAGCAGCGACGATCTAGACAGCTACTGCATTGGAGATAATCTCAGTAACCTCACAGTCATCAAGATGACGTCCAGGCAGCAGCAACAGTTCAATGACGGCCCCCTATTCGCTGACAAGGAGGGCGTGGTACACTACAACGGCGACCCATCCTACGGCGAGGAGTTCCAGGAGCGTGCAATACTCGGCTACCAGGCGAGCGAGGAGAAAATCAAGACGCTCTACGCGATCAAGCTCAAGAGTTCTCTGAATGGACGAGCGTGGACACTCACGCGAAAGAAGGCTGAGATCAGTACGCAGGCCGTGTTGGACGAAGCACGTAATGACCCACTTGCTGCAGTCAAACTGGTGGTAACTACAGTACGACAAGCGTGTGAAAGGATCGCACCACTACAGAAGCAGCAAGCGTTCGAGGAGTATTTCTTCCGAGGTTTTCGCAATCGAGCAGAGTCTGTGCAGGACTACATATCGAGGCGAGAGACAGAATACGAGCGGCTCAAGTCACTTTCAACGAACAGGACAGTCAGCGAGGACCTACGGACATACTTTCTACTGAAACTAGCGAACATCAGCATGCAAGAGCACGAGGCAATCCTTGGCCAATGCAACAACGAATACATCTGGGACGACGTGACGGCAGCCATGCTGATACAGCTAGACAGCACAGGCCGAGATGATCGTGGACGTGGACGATGCGGAGCCTACCCGGTGGACTACGACGACGAAGAAGAAGCTCTACTCGGAGAAGAATGTGCACCGTGCGATGAAGACGTTTTCCCGAGTGATGAGGACTACGACGCACTTGCAGCGGACACCGACGAGTTCGAGGGAGTGATTGATGACGTAGGCCCGGACAAGATCAGCCAGGAGGAGTGCGACACCCTGGCGACGGAGGCTCAGCGTCTTGGCTGGAAAGCTGGACGGCGCAACCACATGCCCAACTACAAGCAGGCCCGGGAGCGGCTTGCTCAGAGCAAGTCGAATAGAGGCTGGAAAGCCAACATCAACAAGCAGGGCTCCATCAAGATGGGCAGCAAAGAGGCTGATGACAAGCTGAAGCAGATCAAGGCGCGCACGAAGTGCAACGCGTGCCACAAGAAGGGCCACTGGAAGGGTGACCCCGAGTGCGAAAAGACGAGGTCACCAGCGAGTGGACCCAGTACGCTACAACGTGGAGGACGAGGAGGCGGACGCGGAGGAAGAGGCTTTCACGGACGACCTGGAGGTTTTCTACGACGAGCTGGATTCGCAATCGCGACCGCGGTCGAGCTGCTGATGGCGGACAGCTCGATGGACATGACAGCCATGCAGATTGTCAGCGACCAGCTGGCAAGCATAGACGTGGCGATGGAGGAGACCACGAGTCTGACGGAGGTGAGAATCGACACCGAGGAGCAGATCGTGAACGCCTACGCGGCATCAGCAGCAGGAGACCAGCCGAACTTCCAAGAGAGGATCGACCAGGCACACGAACCATACCCAGTACCTGGAGAGCATCAAGCGCAAGAATCTGACGAACCCCTGAGCACTCCAGTGAGCTCAACGAGCAGACCGACACCAGGGGCGTGGTCGAGGACGGAGCCCAGCAGACCAAGTACAGACTACCTGGAAGAAGACAACACAGAGGCCGACCTACAGAAGATACGAGATCGTGCAGAACAGATCGCAGCGCTGTGGGTGAGCTGCGAGAACATGGAAGCGGCTTACAGGGACTATATGGATTTCTGTTTGGACTGGGCCCTACATCGCTTCCAGCAGCTCATGCGCGTCGCCATGGAGATGGCTCCGAACGGTCTCAGGAATATGGCCTACGATCTATGCCAAGCAGCCTGGGGCAGCTCGGAGCTTCGTGACATCGTGAGGAGTACCTGTGAGCGCCTACCGATTGGAGTACGACCGACACGGTTGTGGACGCAACGCCGAGCTGGAACCAACCGCGCTCCAGAGGGAGTTGGGCGGCAGCAGCCTCGCGAGGAGCTGGGGGAAATTGAAGCCTACGCAGCGCGAGAAGGACTTATTCCAGATGGGCATGCTGTACTGGACACTGCGTGCCCACGTGGATGTGGAGGTTCAATATCACTGGGCGGCTACGCAGAGGACGGCAGAGTCACCGCGCCGATGAGAGGATCATCCATGCGCTTCCGAGGCGTGAATGATAGCGCCCCGGTCATGGCAGAAGGAGAACAAGAGGTGACGGCTGGACTTGCTGGAGCCGACGTGAACCGACGCTTCCAGAGGTTGCCGAAGTCAAAGACGCCAATACTGCTGAGCATCCACCAGCTGGAGGAGCTCGACACAGTGATATACATCAAGGATCAGAAGGCGGACTTCAAGGCGATCAACAAGTACGGAGTGCCTCTCAACAAGACGGAGAAGGGGCACCTGGCGATCTCGCTCAAGGAGTGGCCGAAGAAGGAAACGACAAAGATCGAGCCATCAGTCACGTCCGACGAGATCGACATCTGGAATGCGGAGGTCCAGGAGAACGATAAGGGCATCCTACGGCGGAAGCAGAGGAAGCATATCGAGACGTGGGAGAAGGAGATTCAGGACAAGCTGGACCAGTGCCAGCAGATCGTGGACACGCTGAAGGCGGACCCGGAGGAGAAGCGGCCCATCATCTGCGAGCACTACGCAGGTGGCATGGCCGCCGCATCAGAAGCTCAGCAGCGGCGGCATCCAGGGGCGAGGCCGAGGGGCATCCTGATCGGGGACGACCTGCTGGGCGCGAAGTCTCAGAATACCGTCCTGAAGCAGCTGAACGAGGATAACCCCTACATGACCATTGTGGGTTTCCCTTGCGACCCGTTCACGAACATACCCCACATGGTCCCGAAGGACACGAAGATGCGCAAGTTGGCGATAGACATGAAGCGCCTGCAGTTTGTCAAGAAGATCTGGCTCAACTGCAAGCGCCGAGGAGCTCATATGCTACTGGGAAACCCGTTGACGTCGAGAGCCTGGCAGCTTATGCCATGGTTGGGCTCAGAGTTCGTGAGCGCGATGATGGACCATTGCGCCGAGGGCAGCAACCTGGTGGACTTCGCCCAATCGAGAAGCCGACGAGGTTCCTAACGACGGCCATCATGCTCGGCAAGAAGCTCAACAGCATCAGGTGTGACGAGCAGCACGTGCACACGAGCGTGATCAACAGGCCGAAGGGGGCAGCATCGAGCCTTGGGAACTGGACCAGGGAGCTGGACAAGACGATCGTGGACGGCATCGAGGATCAGCGGGACCTCGAGAAGCAGCATGGCGGCTACGCCCGGTACGCCAACAACTTCGACGACGTCGACTGTGGCGAGTTCGAGGCCAACCCTGCGGATGCGGAGGCGCCGATGCACGCTAGCGCGGCGGCGATCTTCAGCAAGCATGGCGAGAACATCGAGATGGCGGAATGGACGGCGGTGCCACCACTCATGCGAGCAGCTATCAAGAAGATACACGAGAGCCATTTACATGGACCCTACAAGGAGTCATTGGTACGGT